CCCATACACCCACCTGCCTCCATCCCCGCGACCCTGGCCGCCCCTCTTTGCGCGCAAACAGGTCCCGGGCGAGTGCCAGCTGGGCATGAAGATGCTGGTCAAAGTTTTCTGCGACTCGGGCGCCACGACCACGGCCAAGCTCAACCTCGGCCAGGGCACGCCGCGCGCCAGCAACCGGACGGCGTCGGCGCACTCCGCATACACCGCTGACGAGGGCTCGAAGACAAATGCCGCAGGTGGCGCGGCGCGGGGGGCGGGCGGGGCGGTGCTGGCGCTGGCGCTGGCGGCCGGCGCGGCGGTGCTGGCGCTTGCGTGAGGGGGCTGGCGCTGGGGTTGGTAATGTTAGAGGGAATGTTGCAGGTTGCACGATTTTCCGATGACTCTAAGAACACGCGCACTCCGTAGCGCCTCTTGCGTTGGCCTGAGGCTGACGCTGTTTGCTTTGAACTTCACCACTGACGTGAACTCCTGACTGTCTTCTTTTGATCACCACTGCCAATGTAACAATCTGGAAAATTTGTGTGTAGCAAGAAACCTCTTCACTTTCGGCCAGCCTGCCAGCCAGCCAGCCAGCCACAAACGCACTTAGAAGCCACCCTCTGGCCTGCATTGCAAACTGCCACGCAGCTGCCTACGTAACTCAGGACCGTGGACTGCTTAGGGGCGATGAAGCTGGCTCAGACTGACTGAATCGATGTCGATGCAGCCGCTGGGACACACCGACACTGATTGTCGGCGTGGGGCTGCGTTTCGGACGCTGGGGCCCAGGCACGGCGGTACAAAAGGTGACTGTGCAGGCGAGATGCAAAGTGAGCACTCCGGGTACCCATGCTACATCACTGAACACTTGATCAAGGAGTATTCTGTATATCTCTCGCAGATACCCTGGACCGGTATACGTCGTTCGTCAAAGGCTTCGTCGCATACTTCGTGTATTTTTGGGTATAACACCATAGAAAACTAATCAGCAATCATTTCTAGACCTTTACAGCGTGGCGGGTGATAGAACGGATCGATCTGGACAATTTGGCACAGAGCCATGCCGTTAGAGCTCACGCCGTCCAGCCTGCGGGAACTGTGCAAAGCACACAAACAGTGAGATCGCCATTCCTTGGGCTTGGTGACTCCATAGATCGCAGAGGGCTTGCGGCGCCGTGCGACGACGGGCTGCATCGCCGCTGCGCGCTCGTCCCGCAGGTATGTCTCCTGCCCGGAGCTCAATGACGTGCTTTACCTGCAGTGCAAGGGTATCCTTAGGATCCAAAGCTTGGAGGTGCGACGGCGCGAGGCCGTGCGCTGGAGGCGGGTGGTTGGGGCAGCTACGCTTTCAGCGGTTGGCGGCGATGCGCCGTGGTCTGGGTGCACCCGCGGACGCCCAACCCCGCATGGGCGGTCAACACAGCTCTGCACAAGCGGCATTCCCTTTTGTCCTGCGGCGGCGCACGCGGGCGCCCTCGCTGCCCCGGCAGACCCCAACCGCCCGCCCCTTCTCCGGCCCCAACCGACCTAATCACCAGGCGTACACTGGGGTCACTACTCTCTACCTCGAGGGCAACGCCATCACACAGATCGAGGGCCTGGCGGCGCTGACGGTGCTGCGCTGCCTGTACCTCGGACGCAACCTCGTTTCTCGCATCCAAGGCCTCGGCGCGCTCACCAACCTGGACACACTCGATCTGCGGGACAACAGGATCAGCAGGTGACATGGGGGCATGGGTGTTGCCGCCAAGCCTGGGAGCGCCGAGGCACACCCTCGCGCGGCTTGACGGCGGCAACAGAGGATGTTACAGCAGGGCCCAGCTGCCATGGGCCGCCGCCCCGCAGGCGGCAGGGCACCCTCAAACGGCCCGCTGCACACGCACGCCCTCTGCACGCAAACCCTCACCCTGCCCGCCGCCGCGCCGCGCTGCTGCCTGCCGCCCCTGCGGAAACCGCCAGGGTGGACGGCCTCGACGGGCTGCCAAACCTGCGCACCCTCATCTTGTCCGGGAACAAGCTGGCGACCGCAGACGACCTGTCGGGCCTCTCGGCCGTCACCGCCAGCCTGACGTGCTTGGACGTCGCCCGCAACAGGCTGGAGGGGGAGGACGCGCTGCGGGCGCTGCTGGAGCTGCGGGGCCTGGCGCTGCTGGCGGCGGCCGGCAACCCGATCTGCGGCGGCACGCAGTGGGTGCAGCACCTGGGTCGCGGGCGGTGGCTTGAGCATGTCGGTTAGCAGCTGCAGTGCAGACTGGAAGTGGCTGGGCTCTTGTTGCAGTGGCAAGACGAGTGGGCTGGTCGCATCAGCGCCCACGCTCATCTGTCCAGCAGCGTCACCGTGTGCATCCTATCCGTTCCGCGGGCGGCCGCTCACCCTGCGACCCCATCCCTTTCCCCAGGAACTACCGCAGGCGCCTCGTCAGCGCGCTGCCGGCCCTGCAGCAGCTGGACGACGCCCCGGTGACGCCCAGGGAGCGGCGGCTGGCGGCGGCCTTCTTGGCAGGTGCGCGCTGCGGCTC